AGTAGCTAGGACTATAGGCATGCATCATGCCCAGCTAATTTTTCTACTTTTTGTAGAGATGGGGTCTCGTTATGTTGCTCAGACTGGTCTTGATCTCCTGACCTCAGGCAGTCCTCCTACTTAGGCCTCCCAAAGTGCTAGGATTACAGGCATGGGCCACCGTGTCTGGCCTATTTTGCTTTTATTTTTACTGGTTTCACTGGGATATTCTTATTTTCAGGGAATGTGGGTACCTTAGCTGGCTACAAAACATAAAGATGTTCTGATTCTTGCTGTGATATTACAAATGGATGTACGTTAGATAGCAAACACTTACGCCATCTGGTGGAAAATGGATTAAAGTACAGCATAGTCCCTTTGGGTTTCTCATCTATTTGTATGTGTCCTTCTAAGAGAGGTCATCAGTACACTGAAATGATATTTTAAGAAGTCTAATTTAAAACTTTTATCTTCCTATGGTCTCACTTTGTGTACAGAGAGATTAGGTATTTTTAGCCAAACCAATAGACCCCAAGCGACCAGCCTGATCTGGCTAGCTGTACTCTGTGGTCAGTCTGTTCCAAGAGGGTCAGGATGTACCATTAGCCCATCGCCTCTGGGGCGATTCCTTCTCTTAGAAAATAGAGAATCAGGGCAAGCTGTCATTAATTTGAGCCTTGCCTGAGCTTTATTTATTTTTTTTTGTTTTGAGACAGAGTCTCACTCGGTTGCCCGGGCTAGAGTGCCGTGGCGTCAGCCTAGCTCACAGCAACCTCAACTCCTGGGCTCAAGCGATCCTTCTGCCTCAGCCTCCCAAGTAGCTGGGACTACAGGCATGAGCCACCATGCCCGGCTAATTTTTTGTTTCTATTTTTAGTTGACTGGCTAATTTTTTTTTTCTAGTTTTAGTAGAGATGGGGGTCTCACTCTTTTTTTTTTTTTGGCTCCAATTTACAGAACTCTTTTATTGGATTACTTTATTATTTCACAAAGTCTTGCCTTTAACTCTCTGAGCTCGGGGTGTCACTCTTGATCAGGCTAGTCTCAAAACTCCTGACCTCAAGCGATCCTCCTGCCTCAGTCTCCCAGAGTGCTAGGGTTACAGGCGTGAGCCACCATGCCCAGCCTGGAATAATTTAAAAGTAGGAAAGAAACTAATTTGCTATGATTATGGGGAAGTTCTGATATATATATATATATATATATATATAGACACACAGACACATACATATACATACACACTTATTCCCCCTACCCCCAGGATCAGAAAGATTGTGATGAGCCCTTTATTTTCTTCATTCCCTTGTGTAGCAAACTGTATTTAGGGGGAAGTGACCACAAAAATTTAGATCTTTGATTTATTTTTATTCATTTTTATTCATAGGCATCCTAATGTTATAAGGCCAAATGGTACATACTTTGCTAACATTAAAAGAAATCTGTGGTTCATTTATCAAGTACAAGACATTAGTTTTTGAATTTTGCATATAGATGTATTTTCTGAAGTCTTTAAAAGGTAGCTCTGGCCGGGCGCGGTGGCTCACACCTGTAATCCTAGCACGCTGGGAGGCCGAGGCGGGAGGATAGCTGGAGCTCAGGAGTTTGAGACCAGCCTGAGCAAGAGCGAGACCCTGTCTCTGCTAAAAATATAAAAATTAGCCGGCATCATGGTGTGCACCTGTTACAGTCCCAGCTACTTGGGAGGCTGAGGCAGAAGGATTGCTTGAGCCCAGGAGTTTGAGGTTGCTGGGAACTAGACTGATGCCACGGCACTCTACTCAAGGCAATGGAGTGAGACTCTGTCCACAAAAAAAAAAAGGTAGCCCCAATATTTTATGATTTTTATTCTTTTCAGTGAAAATACTACATATGGTGTATATGTGGTATAAATGTTGGGGCTTTCATAAGCCTTTTTATAGCACAGAGTTTTGAAAATTACGTTTACTTTTTAAAATTATTTTTTGTAGGTAATAAAAGCGTATGGTAAGAATTCAAATAATACAAAAAAGATAGTTGATGGAAAGTCTCTGTCCCTCTACTTGGCTCAGTTCTTTACCAGAGGCTGTCACTGATTTCCAGTGTATCCTCCAGAGATAGCGAATGAATAAAGACATAAAATTTATAGAAATTTTTAAAAATAACCTTTGGACGTGATATATCAATTTTGATGTTAAATAGCACATGAGAACACTTTTAGAGGCCTGAAATGCTGCCATGCAGATAAGAAGGAGGCTGCTTAGCGTGGGGTAGAGGAACGTCCACAGGTGCAAGCTGTGCGTTCAGGCAGTGTGTAATAAGAAAGGCAGAACCACATAATGAATAAAACACTGGGTGGGGAACCAGAAGGCTTTGGTTCCAGTTCCAGTTCTAGCTCTACCGTTAATTAGCTGTGTGATTTTAGGTAAGGTCCGTAAACTTGATGGGCCTCAGTTATTTCATCTGTAGTTTGAGGTTAGACTGGTTAAAATAATGGAATGTTGGAAAGGATCTTAGAGTATCTTAAGTTAGGGAGAATAGAGATGGAAGTATATCAAGGGAGGGTAGGTTGTAGCTCAGCCTAGGCCTCATCAGCAGCAGTATCTTGGTGGGAGCTTCACAGTCCAGAGCACGCCGTCCTGCCTGAGGCATACAGTTGCCTGCCATCAGTGGTGCACTCTGACAGTGATCGACAGTAGAGGTCGGAGGGGCTGGGGAAACCCTGCTCCAGGTATATGTTAGATCAGACTCTTAGGAATTCTGCTGTGGGAATGTCCCATTGGTTGGGAGTCACTGGTCATGAGCTTTGTAAGAAATAGTTTGCTAAGAGTGAGCAAAGTTAGTCTCATGAGGATTGGTTCACATTAGCCAGTCTCCTCAGTGATGACTCTAAACCAGGGAATTAATTTCTAGTGAACTGTGTACCAGAATCAGTGGGTCATCACATTCTCAATAGAACAGTCTGTGCAGAGTTTGCAATCAGAAGGTGGCTTGGTGTGTTTGAAATCAGAGCAAGTAGAGCTTGTAAAATGATCTTTACAGTGAACATCATTAATATGTAATGATTTAATTAATTTACCTCTTCCGAAGGGCTATACCTGTCAAAGGAAGGAGATACATGAGTATCTGGCCAGGACACTGTCCCTGACTTGGATAGTATTGGAGACACAGGGTAAATCTTGCTCTTTGGCTCTACCTTCCCTATTTCCATGTAGAACATTCCCCTTCTTTTAACTCATTCTTTCATCATCCAGGCCATAGTATTATTATTGGTTAGCTTACAGTTTGCTGTCCATCATGTTTTCCTGATGTTCTAATCTTAGAATTTAATGTTTAAAAACCCTACATTTTCAGATAATTTACGTGTGGCTATTTTGTCCTATATCGATTTTGTTTTGTTTTGTTTTGTTTTTTTCTTTTTGAGACAGAGTCTCACTCTTTTTGCCTGGGCTAGAGTGC